CAGAATAAATTATCTGCTTCATTATTATACATTGAGATATTTTTGTAAATGTATCATGAAAAGGAAATCTTTAACACAAAGAAAAGCAAAAGTTAAATAAAATACAAAAACATCTTACAGAAATCACTCCAAATCAAATTTGTTGAATCACTTAGCAGTGAGATGCTCAAAGTACCAAATGGCTAACAATCACTGGCAATGACAGAAACAATTTGTTAAGAATGTATGCATCTTGATTATATCTTAAATGAATATCTACTCTGTCCTGGACAACATCAACAACTGAAAGCTGTTTTGTTAAATTTAAAACTATAACAGCAAAGCTTCAGAAAATCCAATACTGAGCCTAATCTTGAATAAACATTCTGTTCAGGAAAACCTTTTCACATTTCAAGTTTCTTCAGATACAATTAGTACAAAGGAAAGGTTGAGCTCAGTGGAGAAAGGGTGAGTAACAGCATATCTTGGCTCTCACCCAATTATTCTCCAATGGCTGGTCACTAGTGTGCTCATCACTTTACATTATTGATTTTGTGCAAAGCACAGGCCATTTTGTGAATGATTCTAGAAAAAACAAAGACTTTAAGAATAGTTAATTATGAAACAATTACAGCCCAATTTAAATAGGGTTTGAAGTCACTGAATTGAAGCTGTCTTGTACATCTGCAAGCTATATGATGTCAGTTCCAGGAAGTCTCACACTGTTTCAATTTCACATTGCCTACAGCTCAGCTGTAATTGGTGTGAAGTAAGGTACTAATGAATTGCCTGGGAATGTGACAATCTGACTGAACTAACTCTTCAGACAGTCAACATGTAAAAGTCAAATTGAACAATGAGGAGAAATGAAGGAATAAGCACAAACTGTGTGGAATTCTGCGTGCCTGACCATCAGGAATGCTGGCTCCGAGTCTTGGTATCAAAGTGATACTTGTAGTCTGATAGATTCTGGCCCCAAACCACTATCTGTTGCAGGAATGCTCATGATCTCAAACTAATACTTGTCATATGAATGACAACACCTGTGGCACAAAAGGTCCTAGTCCAAAAATAATACATGTATAATAAAACATATTGATCCCAAACTAATACCTGTAGTATGACAAGTCCTAGTGTCAATTCCTATTGGGATTACATCACTAATATAACACTTCTGGCAACAATGTTGCATGGATAATTGAAAATATTGTGCTTGAAAAAAAAAATTAGGCTTGCAGACAAAATCTCTCAAGTGGGCATTTGAGTGACCAAATGGAGAGTTGAACAATTTGGAAAAACAATTATGGTGGTTCATTCCAATATGGAACATTAAAACCACCCTCTTTCTACAATTCTGCTGTCTCTCCATTTCTGTTTTCTAATTTTTCTAATAACTAGATGCTCTCCTGTTGCAATGATCTCATGGTGATTAAGTCTTTTAAGTCTCTCGATGGTCAATGTCATTGTATATGAAACCGAATTAACTTGAAAATCTTTTTTTTTAAAAGTTGAAAAACCTAGACAAAACCCAAAGCTGTTAGCACAGGACAGGGCCAAGACTGGGAAGGTTAATCTTTCCAAAAGCATCAATGGGCAAAAGCGAAATAAACTATTCATTCTCATAACATCAGCTAACACCTTTGTCTTGTCAGCGCTATGTTCTCATTATTCTACATCTATATGATTATAATGGTTAAGAATGGCTTTAAAACAGCATTTCCATTGTAAATACTGACTATTATCTTTAATAGTTTTAATTATATACAATTAAAGTTACAATTACATGTTTTGGAGCTCTGATGATATTTTCCTTTCAGTTTTACAAAAGGTTTACAAGTTGCATGGAAATTTTAATTTGCAGGCAAGTCTGATTTGTATTTTTAAAATTGTCCTCCTCTTAAAAGACAATACTGGAAATTGATTTCCCCATTAGCTCTGTGGATGGTGGGATCCAAAGTCACAAAATCCAGAATGAATGTGTTTTAATTAACTGATCTTTGTCAGAGTAGAGGTGAGGACAGAAGAAGTAGAGTCAGCATCCTGAACTTTAGAACCTCAAAAATAGGAACAGGAGTAGACTATTGGGTCCCTTGAGCCCGAACTCCATTCAAGACATTTGTAGCTGATATTCTTTCTCAACTTCACTTTCCTGTCCACTCCCTATATCCATTGATGCCCTGAGTGACTAAACACGTGTCGAAGTCAGCATGAAATATATTTAACAATGGAGAATCCATAACCCTCTGGGGTAGAGAATTTGAAAGATTTGCAAACCTTGCATGAAGAAACCGTTCCTCACTGGAGTACCAAATGATCAGTTGCTGATCCTGAAACTCTACTCCCACATTCTGAATTCCTCAGGCAGGGCCAAAGTTCTCAGCGTCCAACCTGTCACACCTCTTCAGAATCTTGTCAATTTCAATGACATCAGCTTTTATTCATTCAAATTTCAGCAAATGTAGGTTCAATTTCCTCAGCCTGTCATCACTGACAACTTTCCCATTCCAGGAATCAATCTAGTGAAATTTCACTACAGGAAAACAAGCATAGTGGTAATATGACAGTAATCTAGAATCCCAGGCTAATGCTCTGGGGACAGGGGTTTAAATCCTACCATCACAGCTGGTGGAATGTGAGAATGTGAACTCAATAAAAATCTGGAATTAAAAAAGGTGGTCTAATGGCAAACATGCAACCATGGCCAATTTTTGTTGAAAACTCATCTGGTTCACTCATGTCCTTTAGGGAAGGAAATCAACTATCCTTGCCTAGTCTGGCCTACATGTGACCAATAGCAATGTGTTTGACTCTTAACAGCCCTCTGGACAATTAGAGATGGGTAATGAAAGAATAAAAAGAAGGCAAGTATATGCTTCATTAGATATGGAGAACAAAACTATAAACGCTAAGTGTGGTCTCACTGGGACCCTATAGAATTGAAGCAAGGCTTTCTCCTTGTTGTACTCTCATCCCCTTGTAATAAAAACCGACAGGCCATTTTCCTTGCCCATTGCCTTCTGTACCTTGTGTAATGCTAACTTGGTGTTTGGCAGGTGGGGTGAGAGAAGGACACGCATAGTCAGGGTCCTTCTTTCTAACATTCGACAAGCTTCTGCATCTGTGAGAAGGTTGTATACATGGTGTTCGCACGCATTTCCCCTTCTGCTACCAAGATCAAGCAGCCTTCTGCTCTCTGCACATGCCATGTGGCCCAATGCAACAAAGAGACTGAAGTATATTTCTGGGACCACAAAAGTTAGCACCCACAGAAAAGGATGAGAGAAGGGAAAGATCTATTTGTGGACATCAATAACATTAACAGAAAATGTGCTGGATGCCCTTCAGATAATACATTCATCTGACACATACATGTAATGTAGTTGGAAAATCATTCATTTAGATCTAGCAATGGCATCAATACTGTACAGGGAGATGCCAGATTTGAAACTTCTATTTAAGATTCGTACGTTTACAGGTAACTCATGCATCGGGTAAAAGCAAAAAGGAATTCTGAACTGTTGAAGCTAGAATATTAATACAAAATAATCAATATTAAAAATTAGAAATATTATTTCAAAACATAAAATTACTTCAAGGTTTGCACATAGGAGATTTGACCATTTTGCACAATACACACAATGTCTGTCTTATTGTATGCAACATGTTACAAGCAGCTAAACCTGAGGAAAACAGGGCTGAGAGCTGATGATGAGTCAGATAGAAAACAACTGCACTGCGTCAGTATCAAGTCTGTCAGATTCTCTGTCATTGCTGGTTTTGTTATGTCCTATGAGATGCAAATAAAGTGCTGCGTTGATGGCTGTTTATGTACTCATTCAGATCCAATTGAGCTTTCAGAATTGGATACTAAGTTTCTTCTATGTGGTTAATAATTGTTTAGCAAATCAACTCCTGTGTAAAACTTAGACACAGGAATGTAAAATGAAGTAGTAATACACCAATTTCCCCAATTGCACGTTCAATGGTGTATTTTAACTTTGCCTTGCAGGTGACACCCACTAAATATCTGCCTGATTTAACATGTTTAATTGAGTGCCTCACTTTATGAGCACCTAAAGCTCACCTAGCAGTGTCTACAATTATATTAATTAGCACAGTATTCAACCAATAAACTGCTCAAAAAAAAATTCACAGAATATATCCATTTATTCTCTGCTGAAAGAATGGCCCCCAGCTAGCCACAATACCTTCAGTAAAGCTCAGCATGGCTGTGCTCAGCATCAATGCAGTTTTCCCCAAAGTTTCAGAGATAGTAGGAACTGCAGATGCTGGAGAATCTGAGATAACAAGGTGTAGAGCTGGATGGACACAGCAGGCCAAGCAGCATCAGAGGAGCAGGAAAACTGACGTTTCGGGCCTAGACAGTTCTTCAGAAATGGGGGAGGGGAAGGGGATTCTGAAATAAATGGGGAGGGGGGGAGGCGGATAGAAGATGGATAAAGGAGGAGGTAGGTGGAGAGGAGACAGACAGGTCAAAGAGGCGGGGGTGGAGACAGTAAAGGTGAGTGTAGGTGGGGAGTTAGGGAGGGGATAGGTCAGTCCAGGGAGGACGGACAGGTCAAGGGGGCGGGATGAGGCTAGTAGGTAGGAGATGGGCGTTGGGCTTGAGGAGGGAATAGGTGGGAGGAAGGACAGTTTAGGGAGGCAGGAACAAGCTGGGCTGGTTTTGGGATGCAGTTGGGGGAGGGGAGATTTTGAAACTTGTGAAGTCCACATTGATACCATTGGGCTGCAGGGTTCCTAAGTGAAATATGAGGTGCTATTCCTGCAACCTTCGGGTGTTATCGTCGTGGCACTGCAGGAGGCCCAGGATGGACATGTCGTCTAAGGAATGGGAGGGGGAGTTGAAATGGTTCACAACTGGGAGGTGCAGTTGTTTGTTGCAAGTCGAGCGTAGGTGTTCCGCAAAGCAGTCCCCAAGCCTCCACTTGGTTTCCCCGATGTAGAGGAGCCCACATGTGGAACAGCGGATACAGTATACCACATTAGCAGATGTGCAGGTGAACATCTGCTTGATGTGGAAGCTCTTCTTGGGGCCTGGGGTGTGGGTGAGGGTGGAGGTAAAGTTTGCTGTGTTCGTAGATGGTGCAATGTTTAATGCTTCACAGCATTCCAGTCTCTTCCACAAATTTATGATCCTCCCTTTCTTATTTCTGTAAGTTTACCCGGAACATACACTTCTCCCTCTCTTCTTGTTAACTCTCCCACTGGCAACTCATAGAATTACACAAAATGTAAAGTACAGAAACATCCATACAGCCCATCTCATTCATGCTGGTTTTTAAGCTCCACATAAGCCTCTTCCCACCATTTTTCATCTAACCCTAAAAGCATATCTTTCTATCCCTTTGTCCCTGTTTATCCAATTTCTTGTTAACTGCATTCATACTTCTTGCCTCAACTACCCTCTCAGTTGCAAGTTCCAAGCATTTTGGAAAATACTATTTTCTCCCCTCCTGTCAGTTCTGAGGGTTCACATTGTTTGCTGAGGTAGAGTTCCATCTATACTGAACAACTATCAGAACCTCTCAATTGATCAAATTTTCAACAACCAGTGATTCTTTGGAAAGAACTTATCTGCCGAAATATCTTTCCCCTATCTAATGAATATGTAGGAAAAACAGTGCATTGCTGGCAAGTTCATTGTTTATTCACCATTCCCAAGTGCCATCATAAAAGGTGTTGATGAAGTTTCTTCTACGGTTTGAGGTGATAATTGCTGTTGGTTAGTGGCTTTCAGAATTTTAATCCAATGGCAGCAAAATGGAAAGGCAATTTATCCATAAGTCCTTGTGTGACATGCAGAAACTGGTGTTCCTACACAGTGCCACATTTGTCCTTTAAGCTGGTAAAATACTTCTGTTTCAAGACATTCAAAGGTTTATGGTTAATGTATTGAATTGTAGTCTAAGACTTGATGACCACAGAATGCGCGTACCTAAAGTGGCCAAACAGGTTGATTATTAGCCTGTAAATCCGTCCAATGTGCCCGTGCCAGGTGAAAGAGTTAGAGAGTCTCTTGCTCAGCCATGCCTGATGCAGAATGGCGTCTGTGACGATACAGCGTCTGGTGACAGGCTGGCTATCTGTTCCATGAGAAACTAGGCATGGAAACCACATGTAAGCGAGTGTTTTATCTGTCTCTAGGCATGAGGTGAGGGAGAAAGAAGAATTGGTTTACTCAAGCATTACCGTTCTTACCAGTTACACAATGCAGGATGTGTCTTCAGTTGACATTTCCTCAAATTTTTCCTCCCTCGCCGTGTGTAAAACCTTTTTTTAAAAATGGAAACTTTTGTTATTTGGTCTTCAAAAGTGGGCACGAGCATTTATCTGGCTGTCCCTAATTGCCCTTGAACACGTGCTTGCTGGGCCATTTTTAAAAATTCATTCATGGGAATGTGGGTATTAAGGACGAGGCCACATTTGCTGAGCATCCCTAATTTCCCAGAAAGCAGTTAAGAGTCACAAAGGAAATTAGAGAACCAGATGTGTTTTTCCCAACAATCGACAATGTTTTCATAATTGTCATTAAACTCTTAATTCCAAATTTTTACTGAATTCAAAATCCACTATCAGGATTCGAACCCAAGTCTCCAGAACATTACCTGGGTCTCTGGATCAATAGCGTAGCAATAAAATCACTCGGCCATCGTCCTCTGCTTCAGAGGGTATTAAGAGACAAATACATGGATGTGCGCTAGGAGATCCATGTAGGCTAAACAAGTAGGGACAGCAGATTTCCTTTCCTGTGGGAGTAAATGAACCTGTTGGGATTTTGCTTCGATCTGGCAGTTTAATGATCAATATTAATAAGATGACCATTTTATTCTAGATTTATTAAATCATTCAATCTAAATTCCCCCATTGGCAATGAGAGGATTTGCTTTTGGAGTATTAACCTGGGTCCCTGGACTACTTGTTTACTTAGATTATCAGTATGCTAACATTGCTCTGCACCACCCCTTGCTCTCAAAATGCATGAGTGATCCGCAGCTCAAATTCCATAATGCATTGAATCACAATAAGGTGGCAGAGGGAGACAGAGGTTTGAAGATATAAGATAATTCATCAATTAAAATGGTAATACAAACCTTCCTCTATACTATAAATATATTCTAGGATGGTGGGAATGCGGAATTTAAACCTCTCCTAGCTATTTTAAGTATACTTTAAATCTTATGCTCTGTTAGAATTTCTGAAAGCACGTCAGATTTGTTGCTGACAAACAATAGCATGATTTATAAGAGGCCTTCATCACATTTGCAAATAAAGTTAACTGCATAATACTGAAAAACATTAATACTAATCTTTCCCCCACTCTGTGAAAAATCAGCACTATCAAACGCCTTCAGCCACATTACTCACCAGATCCTTTTAAAATCTATGCTATTTGTCGGAATAATATTAGCAAAACTAAGGACAAAACTTGAAAAGTTTTGGAAAGGAATATCAGAAAATATATAGTTGGCATTTATATAGCACCTTTCACCTCATGATGCCCGAGGCAATGAAGCTAGTTTGAAACTTAACTACTGTTGTAACCCCAGGGATCACAGCAACCAATTCTTGCACAGTAAGCTCCCACAAGTGATTTTGGTTGGGGTTAAAATATTGATCAGGACAGTAAGGAGAACGCCCTTGTTTGTCTTCAAAATCATGCCATGAATCTTTTACAGCCACCTGAGGGGGAAAATGGGGCTTTAGTTTAACATGTTATCCAGAAGTAAGCACCTCCTGAAGGTGCACCACTCTTCAGTATTTCACCGCAGTGTCAGCCATGAATTTTTGGAAAGTCCCAGAGTGGGATGATGAACCCACAACTCTGATTCAGCAGTAAGAATGATACCCACTACTGCTAATTCTAATGTTGGATTGCATTAAGAAATTGTCTATGTAATTCAGTCTTTTCACTTTCACTTGGAACTTCCTGGATTTTATATTAAAACCTGCACAATATATGATAGTTGTGAAGGTTTTGCAGAAGCTTGTCGTGGCTTGATGGTTTCTCTATTCAATTTTGTGAACAATATGTTGCCTTCATCTGCTACGTACTGGAGATGGTGAGAGAATGTCTTGTTGATCCTCTGTCACAGATGGTGTTGAGGACATCCACAGTGTCATGAACCAAGATGTTGAAGATGTCCTCAGTCAGCTTCAGCTTCACAGTTAGTTCATCATCAGCATATTGAACCCACTGGCTCTCTTCCTCTTCGAGTTCTTGAATCTAAAGAGGAAAGTCATGTTACACTGAGAAAATCACTTATGTTTCTTTTCTTTCCCCACTTAACTCAAGCTCAGTAGCAGCAGAGTGTACTGTCTACAAGACCCACTGCAGAAATTCACTAAGGCTCCCTAGACAGCACCTTCTAAACCCATGGCTACTTCCATCCAGAAGGACAAGGGCAGTAGATACATGGGATCACCACCACCTGCAATTTCCCCTCCGAGCTACTCACCATCCTGACATGGAAACATATCACTGTCCCTTTGGTGTCATTGGGTCAAAATCCTGGAAATCCCTCCCTAACAGCATTGTGTGTGTGTCTACAGCACATGAACTACAGTGGCTTAAGTAGGCAGCTCATCACCACCTTCTCAAGGGCAACTAGGGACGGGCAATAAATGCTGGGCCAGCCAGTGACGCTGCTGTTCCAGTACTGAGAAAAAAACTTCAATCTCCCAAAGCCAATTCTGGGCCATTCTGGAAAAAGTGCCAGGAGATCTCATCTGCATATTTCTTTTGTGCCACCAAGCTGTTCAACAGCAGAAGTCATCACCACAGGGTCCAATCAGAATTTCTTCTGATGTGTGTCCACATGTACAGGAGACATGATCAAGATTGGGAACGCTGGCAGAGTTTTTCCCTTCCTTGCTTAGGTTTATTAAAACTGACTGTAGCACTGAGCCACAGTTCATATTTGTGCCAACTGAATGCCACCCTGGCTGAGGTTACCTCAGGCAACACAAACTGAACTAAGGTACTTGCTGTTCTATTTTAAATTCATTCCCAAGATGTGGGCATCACAGGCAAGGTCAACATTTATTTCCTATCCCTAACTGTTCTTAAAGGGGTGGTGAGCCACCTTGTTCAATACAACTGAGTGGCTTGCTAGGCCATTTCAGAATCAATCATTGCTGTGGGTCTGGAATTACATGTAGGTCTGACTTAGCAAAGATGGAAGATTTCTTTCTCTAATGGTCAAAAGTGTGATCATGGCTTTGGGTTTTTATGGTTGTTGTTATAGCTCAGGCTAATGTAAACTTAGACTAACAAGTGTGAAAATGCTTTGAGGTAAAATGCTTTTACTCAAGGACACAGGTACAGTTTAAAATGGTTTAGTTTTGTAACTTAAAATACACCTTTGTATGTTAGTTTTATATGATTAATTTGAACTTTAACTTGTTTTACACACCAACTATAATTTTTTTTATTCATTCATGGGATGAGGGTGTCACTGGCCAGGCAGCATTTATTGCCCATCCCTAATTGCCCAGAGGGCAGTTAAGAGTCAACCACATTGCTGTGGGTCTGGAGTCACATATAGGCCAGACCAGGTAAGGATGGCAGTTTCCTTCCCTAAAGGACATTAATGAACCAGATGAGTTTTTCTGACAATCAACAATGGATTCACAGTCATCATGAGATTCTTAATTCCAGATAATTTTTAAAATTTAATTCAAATTCCACCATCTGCCATGGTGGGATTGGAGCCCAGGTCCCCAGGACATTATCTCGGTCTCTGGATTTACAGTCCAGCAATAATACCACTAGGCCGTCGCCCCCCTTGTGGCATCAGACATGGTTCATTTTGTTAAAGATTATTGACAGGCTTTGGAATTTTGGCAAATAATTAGCTGGGGTGACGGTTAATCTTGAGAAATCATTACACAACAGACAGACACGCAAACAGCTTCATAGGCGCCATATTAAAGATATATAAAGTTGGTAGGTTGAAATGGATAAGCTGTTCCAAAAAGACCTTCCAAAAGTGATTGCATTTCAAAAAATAAATCAGAAGACAATGTCACGAAGATGACTATCACTTTTAAAGAAACTAATGAGGGAATGAGCAAACATTGTGTAGTCAATCTGGGATTGATTAAATGCTGTTCACACAGTGGCAAGTTAATTAGAGATCATGATAGCTCTGGACAGGCACAGGGGATAGTGTTTTAATTCATTCATGTGTTGTGGGCTTTGCTGGGCCAGCATTTATTGTCCATCACTAACTGCCCAGAGAGAAGTTAAGAGCCAACCATATTGCTGGAGGTCTGAAATCATATGAAGGCCAGACCAGGTAAGAATGGCAGATTTCCTGTCCAGTGACATTACCACTACGCCACAGTCTCCCCCTATTAGATGCAAATAAGTGACAATTTCTTTGGTTTGATGCACAAAAAGGAAGGCTAAAGACAGAGGGAGAACTTCAGTCAATATAAGAGAATGATAAATGTGTTCCCAGACAACCACTATCACTAGCTGGTGTCCTGAACCAGATTGACAGGAAAAAAAATTGCATTTGTCAAATATTGTTTCTTTTGTGCCTTTTATTGATACATTTAATAAATTCTGTGACACCCCATGTGAAAAAATATTTGTATCCAGAATGGGTCTTGTAATTATTCAGGACTAGTGAATTTTGGATTGGCTGTCTATAATTGTAATTCATTGAGGTCTTACAATTAAATTTAAAAAGAGAAGCCCAAAACCTTACAACAATAAGAGCATACATAACCAGTTAAAAGAGAACAAAAACAAAATTGCTGGAAAAGCTCAGCAGGTCTGGCAGCATCTGTGAAGGAGAAACGTTACGGGTCCGGTGACCCTTCCTCAGAACAGTTAAAAGAGAAATTGACCATGTGGCCAAAATAGTGCGTGAGTCTTGTGCCCTACACAAAGCAAAAAATGTTGTTATCATATTTATCTTTCCAAATTCTTTTGGCCCCTTTTCCTTCATCTTTCAAATAAACTTTTAATAATCTCCTCAAAAGGAGTCAGAAATACAATAAAAACCTGCACCTCCTGCGCTCATCCTGAATGCAATAAAAACTCACAAACAACATTATTTTTTAGGTGGTTATCACAGTGTCCTCTGACGCAACTCAGCTCAGGCCTTGGCTGATTTAATGAACTGACTGTAGGAGATCCAATAGAAACTTGCAACCGCACACTCCTTAGTGACGGAAGACTGTCATGACCTCCCTCACTGGCCTGAGTGCAGCCTCCAGCACAAGGACAGCCTTCAATCAACGTTAAAAAGATTCTCGGAGTTTCAATTACACCAGGTGTTTGAACTGAACAAAATAGCCAGACCTATCAATCAGTTCTAAAACGGCTTCATCTGTCAGATGGGACCCTCCTCCGAGGCCAGAGGTGGCCATTAATTTAATGCATCAAGGCTGTATTGTGAGATAAACATATCAGTCAGTCTGGACTGTGCAGTGTCTACTGCCCGAGAGCCCATTATTTTAACCCCGTGCATTTTGACCAGCAAGAAATAATCCAATAAATCTTCAATTGGTTGAAAAATAATGGAATTGTTATTTAGTGAAAAAGTAATCCAAAAACTATAAAAATGAAATTGAAATGTCCGAAGATCATTTGACTGTGCCAGTTTGCTACCAATAGTTAGAACAAACAGATGAGGCTAAATTCAGTGTGGAGCTGGAGGAACACAGCAGGCCAGGCAGCATCCGAGGAGCAGGAAAGTTGACGTTTCGGGTCGGCTGCCTGGCCTGCTGTGTTCCTCCAGCTCCACACTGTGTTATCTCTGACTCCAGCATCGGCAGTTCTTACTGTCTCAGGCTAAATTCAGTTCCAGGTTCCAGAACAAAAAGAGATGGGGAGTGATAAAATAAGAGCCCATTGTGCAGGGGGCAACACATTAACATGGATAAAGAATTTCTTAGCTAACAGGAAGCAGAGTATAGGAATAAAAGGGTCTTTTTCAGGTTGGCAATCTATAACCAGTGGAGCACCACAAAGAATAGTCCTTGGTCCTCAACTATTTAAAATCTATTTTGGATGAAGGGACCAAAGGTGTGATAACTAATTTTTCCAATTACGCCAAAGTAAGTAGGAATGTATGTTGTCAAGGGGAGATAAAGATATGGGTAAATGGATAAACATTGGTTAATTGAGTTGTCAAAAATTTGGCAGATAGATTATGATACGGGTAAATGTGGACTTGCCATTGTTTGCAGAAGGAATAGAAAACAAGCATATTATTTAAATGTAAACAGATTATAAAACTCTTTGGACAGAGCGATCTGGGTGTCCTGGGACGTGAATTACAAACAGTTAATATAAAGGTTCAGAAAGTGATTGGGAAGGGAAATAGGAAGTTGTCAGTTATTGCAAGTGGAATGGTTTATAAAAGAAGGGAAATTTTACTGCAGCTATTCAGGGTGAAGGTGAGACCACATTTGGAGAAGTGTGTACAGTTTTGGTTTCCTTATTTGAAAAAGTTCAGATAAGGTTCATTCTACTCATTCCTGGGATGAAGAGCTTATCTTATGAAGAAAGGCTGAACAGCTTATGCCTACACCAACTGGAGTTTTGAAGAATGACAATTGATCTTATTGAAATATGTCAGATCTTGAGGGGAGTGATAAGGATGGATTCTGGGAAGATGTTTCCTCTTCTGCTGAAGACTAGAAGTAGGGGACACCATCTCCCATTTAAGACAAAGGTGAGGCAAAACTTTCCAAGGGTTTTGTATCCGTGAAATACTCTTCTCCAATATGTAGCAGACACTGGGTATTTGAGTTTCTTCAAAGTTGAGGACAGAATTTTGATAGACTGGGGAGTTGAGGGAGAGACAGACAAGAAGGTGAAGTTAAAACAACAAGTCATGATCTTGTTTAATAGCAGATCAGGCTTGCAAGGCTGAGTGGCCTACTTCTGCTTCTAAGTCCTTTATTGCTATGCTTTTGGGATGACAGCATAAAACTGGTAAAATTGTCACTCATTAAACACCTTTCAAAATTTTCTGACAGTTGTCTTCTATGAATACAAAATGAAGAGAGATGTTCAATGGGTAGCCAAGCATAACTGGTCAAGATCAACATTACTCCCAATGTGTTAACCTAATGCCCAATTCTGTCTCCCATTCCTCTGGCTTAAGTAAATTAAGTTATATTCCTCTCTGTTTTTCTACCATGTAGGCCTGGATGATTCTAACCCCTTAGCTTAGATTGGGCAGGTGATTAGTTACCTAAATCTCTCTCTCTCTGGAGGTATGCAAAGGTCACAAAGTCAGTCCCCTGAAACATTTGCTTTCCTTAGTCCAGAAAAATATCTTCTTCCATCTGAAATTAGGAATTCCCCACTGGCGAACAGATAATCACACTGGAAAGTCAGAGGTAAAAAAAAATGTGCTATTACACTTAGCAATGTGCCAATACTTGATTGACAAGCATTCATGGCACCAGAGTGAGCATGCAGTGCAACAGACTCAGAGACACCTTGTTCAAATACCAGCATCTGGGCATGGCTAATGGACAAGGCAAAGATTAATGTGGGGTTTTTTTTAGATGCAGTGTTTGGTAATGATTTTCTTGGTTTTACAGTTGCATCGAAATGCCAAGATATACTAATGACATAGTCTGTCCTACTCCGTATACCAAGAAAAGTCTTTTGCCTTTATCTCCAAGGAAAGGGGGAAACACATACAGTGGGAGGTGTCACCCACTGTCATCAATCTACTTATCTATGGTGATGGAATAACATTGGAACAGCCATGTTGGTAATTTGACAGCCTTTCTTCTTAATTATAAAGATGGCCATGGCAGAGAAAGTATCTGATGAATTATCCTTTAGAAAATTCCGCTTCAATATCACAATTGTCAATCTCATCAGAGATCTATAAAACACAGCAAAAGGTATCAAGAAATATTAGTAAATGTGTAAACAGTTCGTTTTGCAATAGGAAGAATTGTGCAACAATCCAGTTGCTCAAAGAGAAAGTTTGATTAGTAGTTTCAAAGCTGGTGTTAATGGAGAAGATATTGGGCTTGGTTCACATCAGAATTCAATAAGTCTTTCATGCATCAGAGATGGATAAAATGAGTACCTTCTGTCTGGAAAATTGAGACTTTATATGCAGTGACGGTTCTCAGACTCTGCTGCCTTGTTCATCAATGAAATAGAGATCAGTATCATAACCAGAATATATTTAAGTTTGCTTTATTTACTCATGAGATGTGGGTTTCAAATGGCTAGGCCAGCATTTATTACCCACCCATAACTGCCCAGAAGTGTCAACCACATTGTTGTAGGTCTGGAGTCAAACTGGGTAAGGTTGACATATTTCCTTCCCTAAAGGCTATTCATGAACCTTTTCACAACAGATTTTTGTTTTATGGAATTCAAATTTCACCATCCACCATAGTGGGAGTTGGATCATTCTCCCCAGAATATTAACTCAATATTCTGGATTACTAACTCACTGACATTACCACTACAACATTGCCTTCCAAAGATATAACAAAATGGATTTTTTGTGTCACCTATATCACTTCCATCAGAATACACTACCCCTTTAGAATCCTAGATAAAAGTGGCACATGATGACCAAGTACAGTTTGATGGACAGATCATTTCTGGTCATTTCTGCTCTGTCCTTTCACTCAACCCTACCATGACTTGATGAAGACAACTGATATTGACCACATGCTTACCAGGATGATGTCAACCCGGTCCCTTTTGCTCTTGCAATACTTTGTCAGTTTCTGGAGCTTTTCCCTCATTTCCAGGTCATTTCTGTCCAGATTTAGTAATTTGGCCACTTTGCCTTGGATGAATGACTTCAAAGAAAAGAAATAAAACCTTTTATTTTAGGCCTACAACTTTGAAATCATCCTAAGGAAACATTCTGACAAAGTTTCTTTGAAAAGAGAGACAACTTGGAAATCACTCTTCTCCGTACTGTTTGAAACACATGGATGATGCTCAGCCAGTGAACTCTTCCTCTCTAAAATTCAAAGAATTATCTGATATTTTAGAAGAATTGATTATTCAGTGATATACTACACAGACTTTCAGAACACTTAAACAGGGTCCATCAATATTGGACACCCTGAGGACAAATAAGCAAATCAACCCCTCAAGGATGTATGTTAGTATTTGTCAGGTGATCTTCCTGTCGAGTCAACTCATTACATAGGAACATAGAAACAGCAGTAGGCCATTCAGCCCCTCGAGCCTGCTTCGCCATTCCATAAGACCATGGCTAGTCTGTGGCCTAACTGCATATTCCTGCACAGGGCTCATATCCCTTGATACCTTTGCTCAATAAAAATTTGTCTGTCTCAGATTTAAATTTAACAATTGAATTAGCATTGACTGCTGTATGAGGAATGCAGGAATGTTTGAAACGTCTTTGAACATCTACTCTTTGTGGATGGAAGTGCTTTCTAATATCTCTCCAGAATGGCCTGGCTCTAACTCTTAGACTATGTCCCCTGGTTCTAGAATCTTCAACCAGTGGAAATTGTTTATCTTTATCTGCCATGTCCTCCCATGTTACTATCCTAAACACCTCGATTAGATCATCCCTTAAATTTCTAAATGCTAGAGAATAAAGGCCTAATTTGTCTAATCTCTCCTCATTACTTAATCCTTGAAGTCCAGGTATTATCCTCCCTCCAGGGCCAAAACATCTTCCTAAGGATTACAAGATACTTACCAACATCTCACTCTGGGAAACCAAGAACAAGAGTTCACAATGGATAGCAACATTTCTGTCAGTTCATTAAAACATTAGGTTGTAAAGAAAGTTGAGATGGGGAAGGCTGGAAGGAAAAAGACAGAAAGAAAGAGAAGAAAGAATGAAAAATTAATAGAAAGAAGGGTGGTGGAGGACAGTAGGAGGGTAATAAAGAGAAGGACAGAAGGAAGAAAAGAGAGATGGGTGGAAGGACAGAAGGCTGAATGGAAAGAAAGAAAGAGAGGGAAGGAAGGGCATAAAAAAACAAAGAATAGATTGATGAAAGGATGGAGAGTGAGAGAGAAGAGGATGTAGAAAGGACAGGAGGAAGGACGGAATTAAGGAGCAAAGGAAAGAGAGAGAGAAACTTGGGTTTTTTTGTCTTTCATAACCTTAGGATGTCAAAGTCATTTTTAGGCCAATGGAGTATTTGTCACTGAGAAAATGTTAAAGTTAAGAAGGAAAACAGGTATAGTACCTTCAGTTGCCTTTGCTGCTGTGTATCAGGAACAAGGCCAGATAAGAGTCCAGCCCAGGACTTGTGTTTCAGCCATGGATATGGTTTGGACATTAGCTCCTTCATTAAGAAGTTTTGAAAAAGATCAGAAGTCAAATCAAAAATAACCTAGGTGAATAAGAGAACACAAAATCTGATATAGTTGACAAAAGTGCTGAAAAATGCTGCATATTTCTGATTTATCCATAATTTGGCAATCCTAGAAGAAAATGAGTCGGGGAAAGAGTCAAAGCCATCAGAGTTTCATGAAAAATAAGTTGGCTGCTTAGACTATGTCTTCCCGGTTTGGTGTTGTGTATGAAAGAAATTACTTTTCACTGAGACTGGGATTCTCGTTTACCAGAACACAAGAACCAAAAGGAAACCGAGCTGGCTTAGATTCTGAGACACCTTCATCTAATAGTTGCCCACCTTAGTGACCGAGCATGTCTTGTGAGAAGCTTTTTTCTGTTTTCAGCCTGTTCCTAATCATGGCAATGGACTAAGAAAGAATATCCCAAAGCGCTTTACATCTAGTTAAGCTTTTGAAACCTGTTACTTTTTTTTTTATTCATTCATGGGATGTGGGTGTCGCTGGCTAGGCCAGCATTTATTGCCCATCCCTAATTACCCAGCGAGCCTTTAAAAGCCAACCACATTGCTGTGGGTCTGGAGTCACATGTAGGCTAAACCAGCTAAGGATGACAATTTCTCTTCCTAAAAGACATTATTGAACCAGATGGGATTTTCCTGATGATCAACAATGGTTTCATGGTCGATAAATGCAGAGCTGGAAAAGCACAGCTGGTCAAACAGTATCCGAGGAGAACGAAAGTCAACGTTTCGGCCCAAAATGTTGACTTTCCTGCTCCTTGGATGCTGTCTGACCAGCTGTGCTTTTCCAGCTCCAATTTATTGACTCTAGCTTCCAGCATCTGCAGTCCTTACCGTCTCCAAATGGTTTTATGGTCGTCATTAGACCCTAATTCCCTTAATGTTGGACTCAAAGCTTTGAATCTTTTTTCCTCTACACAGATGCCATGAGATTTGTTGAGTATTTTAGTACTTCCTCTTTTCATTTGGATTTCTAACATCCACAGTGATCTAATTTTATATTGTTGGAGCATTTTGCTCTGCGTGAAAGAACCACGTAGAATGTAGAATACAGAAAAAAGTCATTTGCCCAAGTGGTCGGTGCTCCCTTTTATGCTCCCCACCAGATTCTTCCTCCCACATGTCTTCAGTTAACCCTACTTTGTGTATCCTCCTATTACTCTCTCCCTTATGTTTATCACTTTTCCCTTGTAAATGCATTTCCATTATATACTGGCATTGCCCACCGAAGGCTATATATCCTTAATTTAATATAAAAACAGAAAATGCTGGAAACTCGCAGCAATATCTGTGGAGAGAGAAAGAGAGTTAATGCATGAAGACTAAGGCCATTCATCAGAAAATTTCAAACCTGAAATGTTCTGATGGATGGTCACAGACCTTAAATTTCCTTCTTCCTCCATAGATTTCTAGCAAGCGCAACACCTTGCTTTTTTATACCCTTAGTTCAACTTAACTGTGAGGGGCTTTCATATTCCCAAATGTTGAGAACACCACTCATAGACTTAATGTTCACCTGCTCGTGCACTCCCTTGCTTTCAGTATGACCATCCTTCTCATCAGTCTGCTCTCGATCCTCAAACACATTAGTCGTGCTGTAATCTTGAACATGACAACATTGGTTCCACAGGACATTGATGGCTTTGTCAACCAACTGCTGAACTTCCATGAGGTTATAAGGTGCAGCAAAAACAGTTTCCTTTGGCTTCCTACAAGTTCCTGAGCACCACCGGTCCAATGCAAACCTTTGCCCTGGCGTTTTATTGTCCAAGAAAGGCTGGAATCCTTTGTATTTTTCACTGCTGACATCCTGGCTGCTTCCAAAAGTACCCATGTTAAACATCTCATCAAGTGGCTTGCAAGAGAAAGACAACACAATAGACAGCAAACCTGAATTAAAATTAGGGTATAGTATACAAAGCATGTTCATATTATGGCTTTCAACGCTTCAGAATTTCCTGAAGAGCTTTATTCCAAATTGCGCATTTTTAGAAAAGTAGTTACAGATGTAATGTAGGAGGTGCAAGAGTCAATTTGAGCACAGCAAGGTCCCAAAACAAAATGCATTAATGATCTCTGTTTTACTGAAGAGGCTTAGGAACAAATATCAGCCAAAACACCAGCAATAAGCTAGTTCTTCTCAAAATAGTTTTACAGAAGATCACTTGAGAGCTAATCAGAACCTTTTGTTTTAAGTTAATATTCTGACTGAAAGGCTGCAGCTGTAACAGTACTGCATCAGGCACGTCAGCCTTGATTACAAGGTCAAGTTCCTGGAGTGGAATTCAAACCGACGATCTTCCAACTTACGTGGTGAGAGTACTCCACAGTTGACCTCAAGTAAAGGGCCGTGGTCAGAGAAATATACTAACTCATCCTTAAAGTGACTGGAAATGATACAATGCATCAATGTTATGTGCTTTATGAACTTCATTATAGGTCCCATAGAGTACAGAAAGCATAATATGCAGGTGACGGTAAAATAGGTGGGAAAGTAAGCTGCAATGAAGAAATAAGAACTTTAGGTGAATGGGCCAAAATTTGGCAGATGAAGTTTCACATAGATAAGTAAGACGTTATCCATTTTGGTTGGAGGAATAGAAAGGCAACTTATTATCTAAATACAGAGAAATTTCAGATTCAGTGCAGATGGATCTGGGTATCCTTGTGAAGACTAGTATGCAGGTACAGCAGGCAATAAGGAAGGCAAATGGAATTTTGGTACTTATTGCTAAAGGAATGGAGTACAGAAGTAGCAAAATTTTGCTGTAACTCAACAAGGCATTAATGGGGCCCAAACTGGAATATTGCATGCAGTTTTGGTCCCTCTACTTGAGGAGGGATGTCAGTACAATGGAGGCAGTTGGGAGGAGGTTCACTAGATTGATTCCAGAGATGAGGGGTTTGTTTTATGAAGACAGATTGAGCAGTTCAGGTTTATACTCTGTAGAGTTTAGAAGAATGAGAGTGACCTAATTGAGGTATTTAAGATCTCTAAGGTTTTTGAGTAGATTTGTAGCTTGAGTTGTGGATGTTGTGGTTGGTTGGCTCGCTGAGCTGGTTCATTCTTCTGCAGACGTTTCATTACCCTGCTGGGTAACATCATCAGTGCAGCCTCCGATGAAGCGCTGTTGTGTTTTCCTCGCCTGTTATTTAAACTCTGGTGTCCGTTGAGGTGGGTTACCTCACTTCCGGTTTTCTTTCGCAGTGGAGTATATATAGCGTCTAGCTCTATGTGTTTATTGATGGCCTTCTTCATGGAGAACCAGGCATTTAGGAATTGCCATGCTTGTCTCTGCTTTGCCTGTCCCAGGATCCTGGTGTTGTCCCAATCAAACTGGCAGGAACCTGGGACAGGCCAAGCAGAGACAAGCACGGAATACCTAGAGGCCTGGTTCTCCATTAAGAAGGCCATCAACAAACACATAGAGCTAGACCCTAGATATACTCCACTGCAAAGGAAAATGAGGTAATCCAGCTCAAAGGTCACCAGAGTTTAAATACCAGGCGGGAAAACACAACAGTGCTTCATCGGAGGCTGCACTGATAATATTACCCAGCAGGCTAATGAAACGTCTGCAGAACAACGAACCAGCTCGGCGAGCCAACGAACCACAACAGGTATATAAGATATTAAAGGGAATGGACAAAGTAAATGTAGAAAGGATGCTTCTATGAAAGAATGAGAAGTTACAATTTTAGGCTAAGGGGTAATAGATTTAAAACAGAGATGAGGTGAACTTACTACTCTCAAAGGGTCGTGAATCTGTGGAATTCATTACCCTGGAGTCTGGTGGATGCTGGGGCATAGAGTAAAGTTAAGGAGGAGAGAGACAGATTTTTATTTAGTGATTGGTTGAAAGGTTATGGAGAGTGAGCAGGAAAGTGGGGATGAGGCTGAGATGAGACCAGCCATGATGGCATTGGATGGCAAGGCAACTATGAGGGTCTGAATTGCCTATTCCTGCCCCTACTTCTTATGTCTGTATGATCTTATAAAATGTGAGTCCTAGAAACATAGAAATTCAGAGCAGGATTGGCCATTCTGTCCTTGATCCCATTTTGCCACCCGATATGGTCATGGCTGACCCTCTTTCTCAATGTCATATTCCCGCTTTCTCCCTGCACCACTTGACACCTTTAAAATCTAAAAATATTTCTCTTCCTTGAATATAATCAGTGACTTGGCTTCCACAGACTTTTGTACTTATTGGAATATGGAAGAATGAGAATGACCTCATTGAAACAAAGAGTCCTGGAAGGTTCTTGCCAGGGTATATTCAGAAACGTTTCTGCTTGTGAGAGAGTCTAGGACCAGAGGACAGAATCTCAGAATGAGGGGTCGTGCATTAAGACAGAGATGAGGAGGAGTTTCTTTTCTCAGGGAGTAGTGAATCTGTGGAATTCGATACCAGCAGGCCTGTCAAGGGTGAAACATTAAGTATATTCATGGCTGAGACAGACAGAATTTTAACCAGTAAGTACATCAAGAGTTATGGAGAAAAGGCAGGAAAGTGGAGTTAAAGATTATCAGAACAACCATGATCTCATTAAACGGTGGGGCAGATTTGATGGGCTGAATGCACTTCTGTCCCTGTGTCTTACACATGGTACTTTTTTCTTTAAAAGATACATCTATTTTGTTCGCCCTTCTCCATTCTTTCCACATAGCCTTGCAATTCTTCAACTTACAAATACATTTCCAATTCCCATTTGAAAGTTACAACCAAATCTGCTTATGCCACACTACCAGGCAGTACATTCCAGACTGTAGCAACAAGCTGCTTCAAACATAAATCTCAATGCCATTGTGGTTCTTCTTTTAATTATGTTGAAACCTTTCTCTTATCTATGTACAATAGTGTATTTACTTACAGTCCAATTCACCACAGTCCGAGGACAGCAGATATTATTTGCATCTAATTTTCCATGGTGTTTCCTCTTGATTTGGGCATATTCCTTTGCTGAATCATCCACCAATTTTGCTATTAAATTTTCAGTCACATTTTCAATTCTTTCTTCAGGACAGCCATCCTTTGCAATTCTAATTGGATCTTTCAGCTGTATACAATTTATTCTTGAAAGGTCAGGAACACTCATGAAGGATTTGTCATGATCTCTTTGCCCTTTAAGTGGTCCACTGTTTTGCTGAGCAAGTTTAATAAAGTCTTGAGTGTTTTGATGCCCATCGAGCCTCGTTCCCCTTGTTTTTTTGCTGCTCTGATTTTGCTGCTGTCTGATCCCAGTCAATTCAGCCAAAGTTTCTTCCACCAGATATTCCATGAGATGTTCTGTAACTTCATTCACCAACTGTTCACTGCTCTTACCCCGAGGATGTTGCAATACCCATGAGTGGTCCAAGCCTTCTAAGTAGGCATGGAAGTCCAACTGCAAATCTTGTTCCACTTGGGCATCCACCAAATCTTGACAACCAACAAATGACTCCACTGCCTTTGCACATTCCACAATTATTTGTTCCAGTGCAGGCTCATCAATACCACTTGGATGTGGATCTCCTTGGCCAAGTTGGCAGGAATATAGCTTTTTGACCTTCAGCTGGTAAGTATCTTCCTTCTCATTTTCCTTCTCTTCAGATATTTCTTCAAAGCCATGAGCTTCTTTCAATTCATTGTCCAGGTTTTTGTACTTTTGCTCACATACTCCATCACAGAATAAGTCTTCGCCATTTGTGACACCTGCATCAAATTCATAATCAACCCATGGATTGCCATGAGTGTTAAAACTGCCAAAATTATTCATACATTTAAAACACTTCACACCCCAGAAGACTCCATCATAGTCACCTTTTGGTATAGTCACTTCTACATCAGCACAGCCACCCTGGTCAAATGATGTATGCCTTTCACACTGTAAGGTATCAGGTTCTCCATGGCTTGCTCGCATCTGGTCTCCAACATTATCAGCCTTTAAAGGATCAACCATTTGTTGGTCCTTTCGAGGTATGTGAATTCCTAATGATTCAGGCAAAAGAAGATTTTCCTCATCCAACTGTGTGCCAGTTTCCTCTCCACTTATTTTTAATGGGTGCTCAAGTTTCTCTGTTGTAGCATTGACCTTCCCTTCACCTGCTGCTTCAATGGGAGGAGGAAGAAAAGCAGTGAAATTATCAGCATTCACCAAGCTGTGTTTTTCGCCTAAAGATGGTAACTTCTCATTTAGCAAAGAGTTACCAACAGATAGCGGTTGTAGGCCTTCAGTTCTATCAAAGATATTTTCTCTAATTGAAGATGGAAGCTTATTGCTGATGCAAAAAATATTTTCTCCTGGAGATTGAGGAACGTTTTCAGTTTCAATAGCACTATCAGCTTCATCTGGAATGGGAAAGGCTTCACTTTCACATAAAATTAATTCATAAATTGGAGAGCTTAAGCCCGTTGTATTGAAGATGCTGTCTTCCTCAGCTGAAGATAGCAGCTCCTCATTTACAGGTGAGATTTCTTCTACAAGAGATGGCTGCTCCCCCTGAGCCAATAAGCCAATTCCTTTCAGTGAAAACAGATCTTCTTTGCTTGAGGATTCCCTTAAGACTGGAGGTAACATTTTGGGACTCCGTAATTTCAGTTTTGCACTCAAAGGTAGCAACTCATCACCTTCAGATGCAATATCATCAGACCCAGGTGACCTCTCTGCTCTATGCGGGGCCATTTCTTTAACTGTTTCACTTCTTAACAGATTTGTTTGTTCCAATAAAGATGGTGAATTGCCATTTGTGCACAAAGTATCACTTGCAGGTGACTGTATCACTTCATTGGATAATGGACCCAAGCCTTGGACCTTCAAGTTTTTTTCAGTGCTGGCATAGTCATGCACGTCTGGTAGGGAGAGCACTGGTGAAATAATCTCTGCAGTCCAGCTGCCTGGAGCCATTTGAGCAGTTGCTAAAGCTGCACTCTTGTGCAGGTAATGCCTGCTTCTCAGGGAAAGTGGAGTTGCAGTTGGTTCCCAGAAATTACCATCCTTTCCAAAGGGCAGTCCAGCAGTCATCATTTCTTCACACTCCACCACTATTTCAGGTTTAAGCATTTCATTCTGTGCCACTGGGGCCTGCAATGAAGTCTGGAGGGTCGATGCAGGCCTGAAGCTGGAGACATTTTCAGAATGATTAGGCAATCCAAACCAATCTTTGGTGATTTCTGAATTTTTGACAACATAATTTGGTTGTATATTTTCATGTTCCATTCTTTCTTCTGCTTCCAGGCTGATTGTGTTACTCAGTAAGTGGTGAGCAGAGGCTTGCGATAAATTATCTGCTGCTTGGGGAGCGACATTACTCCAGGCATCATGGAGTTGCAACTGGGGCTTCCTTCCAATCAATGATCCTGTTGGTTTTGATGATAATATCATCACATTTCCTTCTGTCTCAAGTAGAATAGAAGACTTTTCACTCCAAGAGTCATCAGTGTCTTTAGTCCTCTTGCAAGCTGAATTGTCTGAGTTGCTATCACACAAGATTTCTTCCCTGCAGTTGTCAGATGAGTCTAAAGATTCAATAACTATGTCTGAACTTTGTGATGATTCTGCAGACCCACAATGAGTAAGCATTTCCAATTGGCTTTCCGCACACTGATTCCCATCATCTGGCACAGAGGAAGGTAGAAGTTGGGACACAGGACACTGAGATGGTTGGTCACTAATCTGAGACTTACTCAGTGGACAGCTGACATCAACAGATCCTATTGCCTCTTGTGGTTTCAATATCTTTTCCACACCATTAGCCTTTTCACCTGAAGTGCAGTAAGAGTAAGGTAAGAGCATGTTCAAAACTGTATGACGGTTGGCGTTTCTAAATGTTCACCTCTAAATGCAGGACAACCATTTTCAGGTCCGGTTTCAATCTCAGAGACACAACACGTTATGAATCACATCTAGCGATTAAAAGATAGCAAACATCTTTAAAATATGAATTATTTTATGAGTCATTGTACATCCCCTTACCCTGCTTTGAAGGTACGTTTTGTGATTGAAGGATCTCAGCACTAGGTTTTGCTGGATGTTTCAGAATGTTAGACCTAAGCAAAAAAGGATATTTTCTATTAATAACTGCTCTCACACATTGTAAAAAATAATTCACATGAGGTTTTATCAGCAGTTTAACACTTGGTCGTTTTGCTCAAGATAATAACCTTCACAAAATTGAACAGAGAAGGTAAGGAAAGAGGAAGGATCCAGATTCACAATGGACAGAGAGGATGATAAATTGAAAGGTAACCACTTTGGCTCACATTCAGAGTGACATTAGTCACTAGCTCAGATTTTGGTTCCTTTTCTTGCTTCGTTTTTCCAATTTATCTAAGTTCTTTGTTGTTTTCATCTCATTGAAATGTTTAGCATTTTGAGAAAGTTTGACAAAGTAGATTGTTAGCCCTGGTTGGAGAGTTAGCCCAGAAGAGGAGAAAGTTCCTTGCCCAAAGGGTTGTGAAGTTTAGGAATTCTCGCTCTTGATGCTGTTTGTTCAACAAAAACAAGGGGTTTGGGGATTGGGCAAGTTAGGACTATATTCACTGGAATTTTGAAGAATGAGGGAGCTTCTCTTCTCATGGAATCCTATATATTTCTAACGGGACTAGACTAGATAGGAAGGATGTTCCCAATGACCAGGGAGTACAGAATCACGGATCACAGTCTAAGGATACAATGTAGGCCATTCAGGACTGAGATGCGGAGAAATGTCGTCACCCAGAGAGTGGTGAGCATGTGGAATTCTCTGCCACATAAAGTGGCTGAGTCAAAAACATTAAGTGATTTCAAGAAGGAGTAGTTATAGTTCTTATGGCTGAAGGCATCAAAGGGGAAGGAGAGAAAGCAGGGACAGGGTGCTGAATTGGATAATCAACCAGGAAATTATTGAATGACAGAGGAGGTTCAAAGGGCAGAATGGGCTCCTTTTTTTGTTCATTCATGGGATGTGGGCATTGTTGGCTGGGCTAGCATTTATTGCTCAAATTGCCCCTTGACCTGAATGCTTTGCTAGGACCATTTCAATGGGCAAATAAAACTCAACAATATTGCTATGCATCTGGAGTTACATATAGGCTAGACCAGGTGAGAATGGCAGATTTCCTTCCCTAAAGGGACATTGGTGAACCTAATGGATTTTTATAATAATCAACGTGGTCGCTATTTGGCCAACTTACTTTTATTCCAGGTTTTTATTGATTTCAATTTTCACTATCTGACACGGTGGGATTTAAATCCATGTTCCCAGAGCGTTAGCTGGAATTCGGGATGACTAACCCAGCGACATTATCACCACACCTCTGCCACCCAAGGAGTCCCATGTTTCTATGAAGTAAGAATTGAAAGGGAAGGTTCAGCCTTGATCTCAGTGAATTGTGATACAGGCTTGAGGGACCTGCTGAAGTGTTTCTGTGTTCTCTCTACATTTTTAATTGCTGGTCCCTTTTCATTGGCTTTCTTGATTCATTTCCTCCTTCTCCTTCTGGTTCCTTCTGTTCTCCTGCTTTGATGCTGCTCATTATTTCACTATCTGGAGTAACGGCATCCAAAGGGAGGCAAGGACAGAGATAAAACAACTTAGCGAAAGCGGCTTTGGAAGGTGGGAAATCAACAGTTTTTGGCTATGGCTCATCTTACTGCCTTACTTCCTCGTAGGACCGACAGTCAAGGAGCTGCAACCTCGAGGCTTAACTCCAGTTTTTGTTCAACCAGGTCTGTTCCGTCAATGTTGCAGTGTAACGCATTCAGTCTGTGGATGTGGGCATCTCTATTTTCAGACCCATCCTTGCAGGAGACTAGTTGAGAACGAGGGGAGGCTTGGGAGTAACAGGCGAACATTTGGGGCAGTGTTGCAAGCAGGTTGATGAGGGTAAGGAGGCTTTTTTAAGGAGAGAGATGTACCATCCCTAACCCCAATGCATTAAGGCAGCTGGGTTTAGCAGTGCCTGTCCAAAGGACTCTTCCTGCACTGCTCTCTTCTCTGAATGACAGACTCAAAATTCAGAGTCAGCGTTCAGGACATGAAAACTGAGTGTGACAACACGGACACTCTGTGACACTCCAGCAACTGGTCTATGGGCAGCAATCAGGAGCAGAAACCCCAACAGAATTTTTCTCAGTCCCTCCCACTCAGACACCAAGTGGGACCACATCTGCCACTGTCCTTGCTAACCACTAGCTCAGGACCTCCGATTCTAAATGTTCATCTCCAAATGCAGGACAACCATTTGCAGGTCCGGTTTCAATCTAAGAGACACAACACGTCATGAATCACATCTAGCGATTAATAATGTCCTCCACACTTCGAAGAATGGCAAGATCTACATGTAATTTTTTTTTCCCCGCTGTAATCTCAGTACCTCAGCAGCTGAGGGAAAGGCTTGTGCAGCACTGCCATAGGGGCTTTAATTTGTGGCTTTGAAATGAGGTAAAACTCAGCATCTGAAATCAGCTCAGCTTTTGTCTTACTGATGAAGGCGTCGTACTCCTGGGGGAAAATAAAACAACAGCAGGAATGACAAAATGTTACTGTCACAAAGGCTGGGCAAATAGTCAAAACACAGACATCAGGATGGCATCAGAGCAAGGCTGCAGTCAGCTGGCATTTCAAACAATTATCACTCTTCAGTTTGACTGGCCCCAGACTTAGTAATATTACAGAGTTGCTTAACTGAGATCATCCAACAGTCATCTCTTTTTACATCTGCAAACATTTTTAAATTTCCGGCATTTATCATACATAAATATATCATGGAATCCCTACAGTGTGGAAAGAGACTATTTGGCCCATCAAGTCTGCATGTGCCCTCTGAAGAGCATACCACCCAGATCCCAGAGCCTACCCTATCCCCATAACCCTGCATTCACTGTGGCTAGAGATAGTAGGAACTGCAGATGCTGGAGAATCTAAGATAACAAGGTGTAGAGCTCGATGAACACAGCAGGCCAAGCAGCATCAGAGGAGCAGGAAGGCTGACGTTTCAGGCCTAGACGGCTAACCCACCTAGCCTGCAATTCCTGGAAATGGAGAGCAATTGAGCATGGCCGATCCACCTAACCTGCGGATCTTTGGATTGTGGGAGTACCTGTAGGAAACCCACGCAGACACAAGGAGAATGTGTAAGCTCCACACAGGCAGTCACCAGAGACTGGAATCGAACCTGGGTACCCAGCACTGTGAGTCAGCAGTGCTAACCGCCAAGTCACTCTGCTGCCCAAAGTTGCTGCATAATTCACAATGCTGCTGCACAGAGTGAGTAACAATAGCTAACTGGCCATGAGAAGCTGTGGGACAGCCTGAGGTAAAAAAAGAGAGGTGCTATGTAAATGCATGCTTTATCTTCAAGGGCTACGACACCCATACGTTGTTCCCTTTGACATACACAACAAACCTCCAGCTGTCTGCACAGATCAGCTTCTTCCATCTTTAACCTTTCCCTTCGCCGCCTCTTCTGCTCACTCTGCAGGTCACCCAACATCGCCTTCCCATTTGCCAGTTCACACTCCAGTGGGGATATCCGGTTTTCTCCAGCACCTTGTTTCTGGGCTGTCTCTGGAAACAGAAGAAATTGTTCATTGATTGATCAATGAAATGTCCCACTGCTCTCTGTGGTGCTGTGTAACTCAGGAGTGAGAATTCACCCCTCATATACCGTGGCATGTCTTTATTCTTTCATGGGGTGTTGGTGTCATTGGCAAGGCCAGCACTTGTTCCTCACCCCTAACTGCCCCTTAAACTGAGTAAATTGCTCCACAGAGGGCAGTTAAGAGTCACTTCAACCTTGTTGGGATCAGTGTTCTGGAGAACTGAAAACCAAGACATTTCAGAGGACATTTAAGACAGTTAATAGTCATTGCTGTAAGTCAGAGAGGGGAAGGGTGGCAGATTTGCTTCCCAAAAAAAAGACTTTAGGGATCCAGGTGAGTTTTTGCAATAATTGATGACAGTTGTCATGGTCACCATTTTTCAATGATGACGAGACTTTCATTCCAGACTTTCTTCATTGGCTTTAAATATCACCAGCTGCTGATGTGAGATTTAACCCCATGTCAGTCACTCAGACACAGGGACAGGGGTTTTATCAGGGCCCAGTAACTGGAGCCCAAGGGTCAAAAGGTCCGTATTTGAGTCCAGTTGGGGAGGGATTGCCAAGCTATTGTGATCAGGTCACGAATCAGGAGCCTGGCCAGGAACAGCATCAGGATCCATGATTGCTGTATTTGGTCCTGCCCCTGCTAAGCTTCTGAATCACTCATTCAGTGACATTACCCACTATATCACCATCTCCACCCTGGCACTCTGCTGCCTGGAGCAAACATGTCACAATGAGGTTGTCATGTTAAAATGTAACTGCTATTTCTAGTTCTAAATATGCCTCATTTTTAAAACCATAATATCTGCATATATTTTTTATAATGAGGGAGAATCTTATAGAAACATTTAAAATTATGAAGGGAATAGATAAGAAAGAAGCAGGGAGGTTTTTTCCACTGGCGGGTGAAACTAGGACAAGGGGGCATAGCCTCAAAATAAGGGGGAGCAGATTTAGAACTGAGTTGAGGAGGAACTTCTTCACCCAAAGGGTTGTGAATCTGTGGAATTCCTTGCCCTGTGAAGCAGTTGAGGTTTCCTCATTGAATGTTTTTAAGGCAAAGATAGATAGACTTTTGAGCTGTAAAGGAATTAAGCTAGCAGGTAAGTGAAGTTGATTCCATGAAAAGATCAGCCATGACCTTATTGCATGGCAGAGCAGGCTTGACAGGGCCAGATGGCCTACTCCTGCTCCTATTTCTTATGCTCTTATTTCCTGTTTCTTTGGAAAAGAAACAGCAATATGCTCCTACACATATTTTGGAACGAATAATCAGTTGGATTTCAAACTGAGGGATGGAACTGTCTTAAAACTGGTCCAGACCAGTTGCAAACCACATCCAGACATAGGACCAAAACAAAAACCTTAAAAAAAATTTGACAGCAGATTTTTACTGTTTGTACTCTCCAGAATAGTTCTTCCTTGAGGGAAATCATCACAGAAAAACAGTATGGTCTACTATGTTGCACCAGTTGTGTCGTCCTAGATGCACTTTGACAGAAGATTGTGGGTTTGAAGCCTGCATCATGATTTCTGAACTCAACATCTACACTTCTCTGCAATACTGAAGGGGTACGAGGCATTAATCTAGAGCTGCTGTACCTGTTTATGAGGTTCAAGTTGAAATTTTAGTGAAAACTGGGGAGTTCTCATTGTGCTCACAGTGGAAGGTGATGGTGCTTCATAGCTCAGGGCATCTAATATCAACCAAACACAGTAACAATGACAGAGTGAATCAGGTACATGGAACCCTTAACCAATATCCTGGGAAGGCGAACTGATGAGAACAGGTTGTGTGGATAATCAAGAGGATTTCTGAAACGTGACCCAAACCTCTGCACCCTGCTCAGGCTTAAATGGGCATTAGATGCCCGCACTACATTGGAAACAGTTGCTTGATGTGATTTCCTTCAGAGTAGCCAATTAATAGCCAGAGGGCAACATCTTTATTTTAAAAAATTAATTTACAGTATGTGGGCATTTCCGACTGGTCCAGCATTTGCTGCCCATCCCTAGTTACCATGAGAAGGAGGTGGTGATAAGCTGCTGAACTTCATGTGGTCTGGGATGAACCAGAATGCCATGAAGGGAATTCTAGGATATTGATCCAGCAACAGTGAAGGAGCGGCAATATATTTACAAGCCATGTTGGTGAGTGGTTTGGAGGGGAACTTGCAAGTGGCGGTATTCCCATATATCTGCTCCTGTTGTCCTTCTAGGGGATGGAAGTTGCTGGATTCAAAATCTCATGCAGTGCATGTTTTGAATGATACCCACTGCTGCCAGAATGCATTGGTGTTAGAGAGAGTGAACATTAAAGGTGGTGAAAGGGATGCCAACCAAGGGACCCAGATAGCGTTGAGCTTCTTGGACTCAGTGCTAAATTAAGGAAAGTGGGCATGTTCTCAAAGAGAGAGTGCCAACCAGAAGCCTGTCAGCTGGTGGGCCACAGCAGGATATCAGTCAAGATGAGTGCAAAGGAGGGCATTTCTAAATGGAGGAACCCTTTCTCCAAACTCTCTGAAGTGTAAGTATTGCAGCTGTGACAGAATGGGTGGGGAAGGTTTTTGTTTATTTACTTGTGGACATGGATGTCACTGCCTGGCTAGCATTTATTGCCTATCTCTTGTGGTGATTGGTATAACCGAATGGCTTGCTAGGCCATTTCAGGAGGGCAGTTGAGGGTCAACCATATTGCTGTGGGTGTGGAGTCACATGTAGGCCAGACCAGGTGAGGATGGCAGATTTCCTTCCCTGAAAGACATTAGTGAGCCAGATGGGTTTTACAGACAATGGTTTCATGGTCATTGGTAGATTCTTAATTCCACTTGTTTTGTTATTGAATTCAAATTCCACTATCTGCCATGGTGGGATTCGAACCTGGGTCCCCAGAACACTGGCTGAGTTTCTAGATTAATAGTCTAGTGATAATACCTCTAGGCCATTGCCTCTCCATTCTACTTTCAGAAGGCAAGACTAAGTCATCCAACTAGATCTGGGAGCCTGAAAACTGATTGGAAAATTCCTGCTGGCCCTGGTTTGTAAGTCTTGACAGATTGTTAATTGGCTTAATCAGCTACTCCCTCTTGAGGGCTGGTAGGCTTTCCATTTGTAGAGTGTCTCCAAGGAAATGATGTCGAGGAGGGGAGAGATTGAGGGTGCAGGTCATGGCCGATAGTGCTACTTCTAGTATTTGTCCACCTCCCAGCCCAACCCCAATGAGGCCTAAAAACCAGGATCTCTGACTCCGAGGTGAGAGTGCTACGGACTGAGCCACAGCCAACATACCCTGGCCCCGACATTCACAAGAGAAACATGAAAAGTTGCAGACTTGAATTGCGGAACATCTGGGCACATCCGCTCTGGCCAGCCTTTTCTTAAAGCTTTTCTTTTCCCTCTCTCAAGACATCACATTCCCTGGAAGGGAATTATTTCAGTGTCCAGGAGATCTTGTGTATGCTTGGGAGCATGGCAGGAGAGGACGGACAGACATGGTGTTCACTGTTTCACGATCTAACTCCTTGCTAACATGCAGTTTCCAGAAACACACACAAACGACAGCCTTTAGCTTCAAAACCATTAGCCATCTAATAAAGGATATTCTATTCTAGAAAGAAACTAAAGCACTGGGGGAAATGTTGACAGGTGAAAAGGAGAAATTTAGCAAGAAAAATGTTAATTGGAACATTAAATTGAAAGATTTTCTTTTCCCATTCTCACCAGTGATAAGTAAACCTTTCTCTGACTGAATCTTGGCCACCTCGATTGCTGACTTTTCAGAAGGTTTTGGAACCATTGCAGGCCTCTGCTCCGAGCTTTTTGCAGGAGGTTTCTGAAAGTGAGGAAATCCAAAAATAAAACCTTCCAATATTAACTGGAAACTGCAAAGCGCAAGTTGAATTTTAGAGACTGAGATCAATTGTGCAGTGTGAAGCTCTCAGTCACACTCTAATTTTACCATCATTCAGCCTAGCCCATCTTCTTGGCTCAGGTCTATGAGTATTATGGTCCTGTCCTCAGGAGATCATTGTTCAGAAATCCCAGTCATTGTAAATGTGCCATGGAATCAGAGAGACCATTCGGCCCATAAAGTCTGCAACAACCCTCTGAACAGCATTCCACCCCTTCAACCTATCCCCATATTTCCCATGGCTAGTCCACCTAACCTGCACATCCCTGGACACTGCAGGGCAATTTAGCATGACCAATCCACCTAACTTGCACATCGTTAGACTGTGGGAAGAAACCGGAGCACCTGGTAGAAACCCACGCAGACATAGGGAGAACGTGCAGACTCCAAACAGACAGACAGTCACCTAAGGCTGGAATCAAATCTGGGTCCCTGGCACTGTGAGACAACAGTGCTAACCACTGAGCCATCTTGCCACCCATCCTGAAGTTAATTTGAGGAATCCAGAGGTTTCTCTACATTGACAGATGTTTGCAACTACTTTGCAGAGGAGCAGGATGATCAAAATTAGCCAAAATCTACAGAAAATGATGAACTTTCTCTTATGTTTTTTAAAAGGATAGTTTGCTTTTGATTTGTAACTGTTTTCTGAAAATAGTACATTAACTAGTCATCGGGATGCATTGCATTTATGATACTTTTCAATGTGACTTGGGTTCTCCAGATCCAAAATTGATGACTGATATATTATATATCATATATCCTCAGCATCACTTCTTAAGACAACATTAAAAAGCCCCAGTAACCCATGTTCATCTTTCAGCAATAATGTCAAACCTTGACCTAACACATTGTTAAGTAACAAGATCATATCCTATTTAATAATATCATTGAAATAATATCAAAATTGCAAGGTCATTAATTTACATTCTCCCCTGAGTCTACACATACTTCTTCCAGGGATGAACTTCCAATGAACCAAGCCCCATGCCAGTCACTCCCAGAATCCTAAAGAAGCAAAATGCCATGGCATTGCAACAGAATTCCTTTTCCATCGATTTCCTGCTGCACGTCCAAATGAACCAACCTTTTCTCGTCGGTATTCCAATCTCTTGCCATTCAGTGCCACATCTATAGAATCTAAGAGGCCAAATCACCTCCCATTTACTGCTCTTGTACAGAATCTTAGCAGCATTCCTGAGCATGGAGTATTTGTTAATGCTGAGGATAACGAGCCCAAAAGTAAATTTTAGCCAAAAGCAGCTGCATATTTAGTTCAACCATCTCTGAGTCATCAATTTGTATCTGTTAACTGCTTTCCATTATTTTGCTTTCAGCTAAATTGTTTAAGGAATAATGAAATGGCCAAATGTTGCACACATTGTCCATTTCTGAAGTGAGAGATCTTGAAGCATTCATAGTACATCTGGGCATTCCAGATTAAACTACGCACACATCAGGCACTGTGAGAGCTTAATTATTGATGCAACTCTGCACACTTCAATACTGCACTCGAATAGATCAACTCTATTGCCGTGAATTCGATTAGTATTTTATTTATCCTGTGTGAAACCTTATTAACATACTGCACATTAGAAAATTCATTTTTACTGTATGCCAGGAAATCCTCCCAATCTGCAGCTGGGCATATACTGAGTTTTTGAAACTATCTGATTAAATTTACTGCTCATTTATCATTCAAGCATCTACTTTCTTTCTCCCCCTTTCACTTTTATTCATCTTGCAGGTTGAGACTCCTGCTGGGTTATAACTTTATGGGCATTGCTACCTGACGTGAACATGGAAAGTGAGCATTCGTAAACCATTGGACTAAGGTGAGCCGGTGGGGGGGTGGGGGTGCGGTGTGTGTGAGTGTGTGTGTGTGGAAATTAAAGAAATGAACCTCTTCCCATTCAGTTCTAGAATCCCAATGGGCCAAATCACCTGTCGTTTTTTTGTTTGTGTGGCGTCTTACCACACAGCGTTCCTAAGCATGGTTCTGTCCCCACTCATCAGTTATACATGTACTTTCCAGCAGGAGTCACTGAAGGCCTGTTAGGAGGGAATACCTGAGTTGACTGATTTTGCTTCCTCAGTTTCAAGTAACGTTATTGTGCTTGAGGTCAACTAACTCATTCTGGACAAGGTGTCCAAGCTGTCATCTTAATGTTAATGGTGCAATAATGAATCCCTTGTCAGGAATTGATTAATTCTGTAAGTTAGCTTATTTAAAACAGTGAAACACATCATAAGTTATAAAACAAACATTACAGCAAGCCAGAGATAACAAGGTGTAGGGCTGGGTGAACACAACAGGCCAAGCAGCATCGGAGGAGCAGGAAAGCTGACGTTTCAGGTCTGGACCCTTCTTTGGAAAAGATCTCTCACTTCAGAAATGGACAATGTCTGCAATGTTTGGCTACTTCATTTCTGAAGAAGGGTCCAGACCCGAAACATCAGCTTTCCTGCTCCTCTGATGCTGCTTAGCCTGCTGTCTTCATCCAGCTCTACACCTTGCTATCTCAGATTCTCCAGCATCGGCAGTTCCCACTATCTCATTACAGCGAGCCAACCGATTTGTGTGTGCGCAGCATGCAAACCCAAAGACAACAAACTGGAAGGCAGAAACGCAACATTGTATACACAGAACATTAACTCCTTAAAGAAGACATCCCTTCAAGGGAAGAGAAGCCAACAATACAAGCCTCATACTTGGTCTGAAAGGCCTCATTGGGAGGACTATTCAACAGCTCAACCTCAAGAGTCAACCATTCTACAAGGACAATTATATGAACCATCAAGTAGGTATTTACCACATTCTGTTGCCCTTGACAATGCTCATCCAAAGGGGCAACTGTAGCCAAGGTCACCACTTCATTGGTGCTGAGGGATTTGTTTGGTTCGATGGAGTGTGAGCATTCCTCATGGTTCCAGTTATCTAATTTGGGAATAAAACAGATGACAAAAGCAAGGAGAGAAGAAATGCCTTTTGTCACACATACATGGATTGCGATCATTGCTGTTTCAATTGCTGGTCTGTATTGAGATCATTAACAACGGACAGAACATGATAAAGAGACATTTGTGCCCCAGCACTCCTCAACTAGCAAGAGAGACATCACCAAGGGATCCTCATGATATATTTAGTAAATAAATTAATAGCATTTATATAGTACCTTTTACAATCTCAGGATATCTCAAGGTGTTTTACAGTCAACTTCTTTAACTTGCGATGTAGAAGGAAAAGCAACCAGTCTATACACAGCAAGGTTTCAACAAACAGCAATGTGATAATGATCTGATCATTTGTTTAAGAGAGATCTGTTCAGGGGATAATAGTTGGGCAGAAGGCTGGAGAGAAGTCCCTAATCTTCTTCAAAGTAACACTGTCTATTCATTAAGTCACACAAAACTTGAGGGGGCTGTGTATTCATTTACACCGCTTATGCTCCAACATGACGTAGCTAGTTTCACTTGTTGCTCGATGTTTGAGATATCATGCCCTTCCAGGGTAATCTGAGGTAGCGTGGGCACTTTTCACAAAAGGCCTGAAAAGCCAAGAAAGAAAGCTTCCCCATGAAGGGGCATGATGGAAAACCCGACGTCTCCTTCAAGCAGACTTTGAGTTTGGGTGTCAAATGGAATTTCAGAACTATTCCAGACTAAGGATGTTAAGGGTTAGGAAACCACAATGTGGGGAAAAGCGAAGATACAGATCAGCCACATTCTAGCTAAATGTCGAGGCAGTTGCCTTAAGGGGTGGAAAGCCTCCTCCTACAAAGTTAGAAATTATTGACAGCACAGCACAGGCCTATTCAACCCAACAGGCCCATGCCAATCATTTCTGCTTCTCCCAACCCACCACCTGAAACCATCAACATACCCACCTATTTTCTGGACCTTCATGTCTTTACTCTCATTCCCCTAAAATGCATCAATGTTATTCACTTCAACTACATCCTGTTGTAGCAAGTTCCACATTACAATTGTTTTCTGGGCAAAGCGTTCTTTCCCCGCAAATTCTTTATTGGATTTATTAATGATCATCTTATATTCCCACCTGGCCCTCTATGACCCTTTGGGGAAGGATTCCTTCCATCTTTGCCTGGTCTAGTCTACATATGATTCCAGACCCACAGCAATATGGTGGACTCTTGACTCCCCTCTAAGGCCTCGAAAGTCACTCAATTCAAGGGCAATTAGGAATGGGTGACAATTGTTGGCTTTCCCAGCAACATTCATATCCCAGGAAAGAATAAAGAAATCAAAACTAGTTCTAGTCTCACTTTCATGCGAAAAGCTTGCTCCACTTTTAACCCACCAAACCTTTCTACAATGTTAATGACTTCGAACAGGTCATCTCTTAGTCTTCTCCTTTCTAGAGAAATGAACCCTGGCCAAACTGGTCCATCCTTCCTGATTAGATTCACATTTTAGTTTTTATATTAGCTACTCCTGTTCCACTCCGACTTTCCAATCAATATCTATCTCTGTCAAGCCCAGAATTCCAAGCACCAGGCAAAGCCCCTGAACCAATCTCCCTTAATGATGAAAATGATGCCAACAATCTCAGTGGAGAGTGCCACTGAAGAGCCTCCTAATGCACAATATGAAACTTTGCCAAGGGATATCGTCGCCCAGTAAACCCATAATGGCTGGCAGGGATTGGCAAGTTCTCAAACCTCTTAGAGAGAGTTCAGTAGCAATTTGTTCTGGCTTATTTATGCCACATTGAAGCCATAGAATATTGGGTATTAAAAATCAACATAAGGTGCCCTCATCCTCTTAAAATGCTTGCTTAAAAAACACAGAAAGCCACGCTAATTAATTCTGTGCAGACTATTGCTTTCTCCCTCCTCCATTTAGTGCTCCTCATGGATATTAATGGTGGACAATAGAACATTTTTGTTACAAATCTCCTTGCAAAAAAATCTCCTGCACCCCGAATAAATATATTCCACACTTGACATAATGGATGCCTGTAGCTTCATGGGTTGCACACTCATCTTCTGCGTTAGAAGCTCATGAGTTCAAATTCCTGGCCCCACTTGTCCCCACATTAGAGACGCTCTATATGGTATATGAAACCAACTCTCAGCTCAATGCAAAAGACCCCAGTCTGCAAATTAAAGAAATACACTTCTCTAACATCCTATTTGTCCTTCAACCAACATGACTGATAGCAGATGATCTGATTGGTTTCTTGTTGGAGCTTGCTACATACAAATTGGCTGTTCTAGAGTTCAAGAAATAAGCCATTAGCTGAAAAGTGCTTTGAGGTGTCCTGAGTTCATGAAGGTGTTAGTTAAAGCCCTTTTTTTATTCATTCCTGGGTGTTGGTGTCATACTGGGTCAGCATTTACTGCCCATCCCTAATTTCCCAGAAGGCTGTTAACAGTCCATACGGACAATGTCCACTGCTTTCTTCTTCTTAATCTTCTTTGTCATTTCTTCAAAAAACTCCATCAAGTTAGTGATTCACAATTTCCCATGCACAAATTTTGGAATACTGCATTCAATTCTGGTCTCCTTGCTATAGGTAAGATGCTTAAAAGGGTGCAGAAAAGATTTACAAGCATGTTGCCAGGGTTGGAGGGTTTGACTATAGAGAGAGGCTGAATAGGCCAGGGCTATTTTCCCTGGAACATCGAAGACTGAGCGGTGACCTTATAGAAGTTTGTAAAGTCATGAGGGGCATGGATAGGGTGACTAGTTAAGATCTTTTTCCCGGGGTAGGGGAGTCCAAAACTAGAGGGCATAGGTTTAAGATGAGAGGGGAAAGTTTTAAAAAGGACCTAACTGGCAACTTTTTCTCACAGAGGGTGGTGCTTGTAATGAATAAGCTGCCAGATCAGTAGCGGAGGCTGGTACAATTAAAACATTTAAAAGGCATCTGGAGGGGTGCATGACTAGGAAGGGTTTAGAAGGATACGGGCTGAATGCTGGCAAATGGGACTAGATTAATTTAGAATATCTGGTTGGCATGGATGAGTTGGATCGAAGGGTCTGTTTCCGTTCTGTACAACTCTGTGACTCTCTATGATTCTAGACCAGCATTTGTGTCTGCCCATCCCGGAGGGCGGAAGTCAACCACATTACTGTGAGCCTGGAGTTCCATGTAGGTCAGATCAGGTAAGAATGGCAGTTTCATTCCCTGAAAAGAACACTAGTGAACCAGATGAGATTTTCCTTGTTGATAGTCATCATGAGAATCCTATTTCCAGATATTTATTGAATTTAAATTCAACTATCTGCTGTAGCAGACGTCAAACCCAGGTCCCTGGAACATTTTCTGGGTCTCTGATTTAACAGTCCAGTGATAACACCACGTGGTGCTCGCCTCCCCTAATTTATCTTTCTTGTTAGACAATGTTGAGAGATTTGTCATGAATTTGGGGCAGGTTGGGGCTGTTTTGCCCACGCATCGTCTGTTCTGACATCGCCTCACTTGTGCCATGGCCCCTACGATCTCAGATTGTTGCTGAGCTAATTCTGTGCAATATTTCGGGACCTGCAAAGTATGGTCAAGAGATCACGGGTTAATGCGGGGCCACCCGAATCATAAGTAGAGCACTCCAGAATGAAAATGAACCAATGCAATTGGTCCAGATTCGGTCAGTTGGCAATGGACTCCAACCTAGCTTTACAATCTGCCAGCTGCCTTTAAAAGACCGGGCCAGCTTTTAAACATAGAGTCATAGAGATGTACAACATGGAAACATACCCTTTGGTACTACTCATCCATGTTGACCAGGTATCCTAAATTAATCTAGTTCCATTTGCCTGTATTTGGTTCATATCCCTCTAAACCCTTCCTATTCATATACTCATCCATATGCCTTTCAAATGTTATAATTGTACCAACGTTCACCACCTCCTCTGGCAGCTTGTTCCATATACGCACCACCCTCTGCATGAAAAGTTACCCCTTAGGTCCCTTTTAAATCTTTCCCCTCTCACCTTAAACCTATGCCCTCTAGTTTTGGCCTCCCCTACCCTGGGAGAAAATGACCTTGGTTATTCACCTTATCCATGCCCCTGATGATTTTATAAACCTCTATAAGGTCATCTCTCAGCCTCCGATGCTCCAGGGAAAATAGCCCCGGCCTATTCATAAACCCTGGCAACATCCCAGTAAATCTTTTCTGAACTCTTCCAAGCTTCACAACATCTTCCCTATAACAGGGAGACCAGAACTGAAAGCAGTATTCCAAAACTGACCTAACAAATGTCCTGTACTGGTGCAACATGACCTCCCAACTCCTATACTCAATCAAATAACATTTTCTGAACAATTCTGCCTCAGGGAACATAGTTCCTCAATTAGCACTGCTGCCTCACAGCGCCAGGGACCCAGGTTCAATTCCAGCCTCGGGCGACAGTCTGTGTGGAGTTTGCACATTCTCCCCATCTCTGCGTGGGTTTCCTCCGAGTGCTCCGGTTTCCTCCCACAGTCCAAAGATGTGCAGGGTAGGTGGATTGGCTATGCTAAATTTCCCATAGTGCCCAGAAATGTTTAGGTTAAGTGGGTTAGACATGGGAAAATGCAGGGGTAGGGGAATGGGCCTGGGTGGGATGCTGTTCAGTGGGGCGATGTAGACTTATTGGGCCGAATGGCCTGTTTCCACACCGTAGGGATTCTATGAAAATAAAAAAAATCTATGATACATACTTTTTGAATATTTTTAACACACAGGTGTTTAGATTTTTCATCTGCACGAGGATTGGTGAAAAGGTATGGGAGGTTAAGAGGGAATGTGCAGTATTCAGATCAGCCATGAAATTATTGACTGGCAGGGCTGTTACAAGGGGCCGAATGGCCTACTTGTGTTCTTAATTTGCATGTGCATTTGTTACTGTTGTGGAATAGGGCTACACCTAGTTTAAAATGCAGCTAAATTCTCACATTTATTTATCACTTCAAGAGTTGGAGAGGGACTTGATACTGATCACTTACCATATGAGCTCCAACCAGTTCACGGATGGTCGGAGCAGGTTGAGGGGTCAGATAGAGGAGGAGGAATGGCATTGTGACTGCAGCTGGGAAATGAATAGCAGCAGGCACCTTTGGAAAAGTGAGAAATCAGAATGTAAGCATGAAAGATCAGGCAAAGTTCTCACACACCTGGAGGCGAGCTAAAGAACTGCAGAACTAATGTCAGGGAGATGCTCACATGGGTTTTGATATTCTGTGTAGCTCAGAAGGCCAGAGTCTGTGCAAGACACCACTTTAAAAATGAGATGCAATATTTCTGCTGAATCATACCGGTTTCTGTTTTGCCTGGATCTATCTCCTGGGCCAGTGGACTCCAGGGAGCAACAATTTCTGACTCAGTCCTATGTAGAGCCAGCTCCTCTTCGTCACAGCGTTGTTTCCACTCCAGCAAATCCTCCGCTTGTCGCCGGCGCTTCACCAGTTCCTTCTCTTTCTTCGTCAAGAACCTGGAAAAAGCAACAAGAAGACCCCACCCCAGTCCCTCAGTCACACAGGAGTCAACAGAGCTCCAATGTAACCTGAAAATTTCACCAAGACTAGCTTCTTCTTTACTTGTCCCCCAGACCTGCTATCTCCACTTTCCCACCCCATCCCACCCCATCCCCACTTCCTTGGGTGAATATGGGGAGGCAATGGCCTACTGGTATGATCACGGAACGATTAATCGAGAGACCACAATAATCTCGTGGGGACTCAGGTTTGAATGTTGCAATGGCAGATGATGGTTAAAATCCTAAAATGAACAAAGACCACCTTCCCTCAGCCCATGCTGATGTAAAGACGACCTCATCATTTGGAGACATAAGTTGGAAAATGGAAATTTGACAACCATGTTGCAGGGAAAGAGCCAATTGTAACTCAAAGGAAAAGCAGAACTGTGTGATGTTGCCTTTTTGGTTACCTCAGAACATGTAACATTTGGAAGAAGCTGAGTTTGATACATTTATCAGACTAGCGGGAACCAGGGTTGAAAATCACAAATAACTCAAGACTCTGAAAGGAGAAAATAAAACCTTCCAACAGAAGCTGAGACCTTGGTCTAACTGACCCAATACTGAATTGAGGATCGCTACAAAGTTGGAAACAAAGTGATAACATCACCAAAAGGACTGTGAGAAATTTCGTACATTTCCCTTCGAGGGTACTTGATCCACAGACTTGGTTTCTTTTTGCCCGCATTTTTCAGCCAGAGGATTCCCACATCCCAGAAATGAATGAAATGAAAAGGTAGTGGTGTTCCTCTACCACGATACAGTAACCAGGCCTACAGATAACACAGTGTGGAGCTGGAGGAACACAGCAGGCCAGGC